GGCCGCCGCGCCGGCCGCGCTCTGCGCACAAAAGCCAAACGCACCCCACTCTCTCCATGTGATTCCTCTTCTTGCTTTGAGATCGGAGACGACTTTGCCTTGCCCGGGCTGTCCCGGGATCCCGGCTGGCCCCTGCGGCCCACGTCCCCCGCCTCCTCCCCGCGTCCGGAGGGGTGACCGGTCCTGACCATCTGAGACGCAGTGGAAATGTGGTTCTTTGCATCATGTACGTTTCTCATTGATTTTTGGTTGACGCCTATTTCCCCCCTTTCAGTAACCGTTCAGGGTGCTGTCTTGGCGGCTTGACACCAGCGAGCGAAAGTTTTAGCCTGGAAAAAAAAAAGAAAAGAAAAAAACGGGGTGAGGGAGGAAGAGGACAGGGAGAAGGTGGAAAGAAGGGAGGGGGGGTGTTTTTTGTTTTTCTTGCAACCACCGTTTTCTAGTTCCAAGTTTTAAATACATGGAAGGAAGTCCGGGAGAACCAAATGAAGGAGCAGGAGGAGAGGAAGAAACTTTTGTTTTTTCCTTTTTTTTTTTCTGCCAGGAGTAGCTGGAAATTATGATCGGGTTCCTTTTCTGCCAGCTTGGAAGGGCAACCCCGTGACTGATTGCGATTCCGAGGATGTCTATGCAAAGTTGGATTCTTGTTTCAGTGTATCCAATCTGAAGTATTGCACATCTGAACTGGGACTGTTAACACTGATGCCAATACAGTGTGGGGTGCCAGAAAGTGTCTGCTGATATTTGTGGGGGGAAAAAAATCTATTTTGTTTACCTACTGTATCTAAGGGGAGTCTGGGGAAAAACGGTAGTATTTTTTTTTATCAGCTGTGAAAAAAATGTTACAGATCTGCACATTTTGTGTGTGTACTATTGTGTGTGTGCGTGTGTGGTTTTTTTTGTGTGTGTTTTTTTAAGTTTAGCTTTTTATTCTTATTGGTTGGCAGTAACGGATTTTGATGAGTAGCTCTTTAAAATACAGTACAAAGACTTAACAAATGTGATTCAGGGCCCCCAGCACCCCTGTGTCTGCAGAGTGCCTTCAAAACTCAGCTGTTCCAGCCGGTGCCAACCTGTGAACTTCCCACCCTACCCCAGAATCTGCTATTTCCCCAAACCACTTCCCAGTTTCCTTTTAGTAATCATCCCCAAGGAGCCAGGACAATAGGGCCTGTTCTGTGAATTTCTTCTTTATTATTTCCAGCCTTTAAAATGTAATTTCCATGTCTTGCGATTTTTTTTTTACTTTTTTTTCCTTCATTTTGTTCAAATGTTCAGGTATTTAGCTCCCCTTTTATATTATTTTAAAATTTTTTTTTGGTTATCTGTTAATAGGGTCTTCCTTCAGAAGCAAAGAGCAAAATTTTACTGTTGTGATGTACCAAGAGAATTCTAACCAATTGTAATTTTTAATTCCAGACACACGTGTTTAATCATTGTCTCTTCATTTTAAGACTTTTAATACAAATGTCATTTTTAAAGAAACAAACCCAAAACTATTGTTTGTGTTTCTGTGTTTCGTATTCAGTGATTTAATACAGTAGCATGGCTAAGGTGAACAGGTGCAGGTGATTGGTGGTGCCTGATGTCCCCAAAGAGCTGGTGGTCAAATTTTGAAGACGGAAGTATTTCATTGGCAAGTTGAGCGACATCACTCCCAACTTCTTAAATATGGGGGAAATCACCATGGACTAGGAAGCCCTGGGGTATGGCCATATCATCTGACTACAAGATTACTGACTCTTCACCTGGCATGGAGCAGTTTACCTCACCTCGCAGTACGTAGGGAAGGGAGAAGCCAACTGCTAGTACTGCCTTAAATCTGGGAAAGTAACCATCTACCTGACCAGGCAGGGTTAGCATTTTCTCATTTGTTTAGTTTAAATTAGGTCACATATACACCAAGTCAAAAGGATGTTTGGGGAAGATGATTTCCATTCCGAAGTCATACCTACTAGCATTTCTGCAGTAATTTGTATAGGCTGTAGACAGCATTTCAACTCCTGAGGTTTTGATTTGGAAATAGATCTTTAGATTTACAAAGAAAGAAAACAGAAAAAACTAAGACAAAAACGCCTGGCTCTCATTACTCATCATGGGCCATTTTGACCTCATGAAATTTTCCTACTAACAGTAGGAGGCAGTGTGAGCTTTTTCTGTTTGATTTTCCCCAAGGGCCACTTTACTAATATAACCTCTTTAGAATAAAAGGTTTGTGGCTATATACCAAGAGCATTTGATATACCGTAAGTCTGTGAGTGTAGATGAAGTTTTCTCAAGGGTCTTTGGACAAAGGGATTTATTCTGTGGAGGAAGCCAAAACAAATTACAGGCCACAGGTTTCTTTAAACAGTATTACTAACATATCTTGCCTTAAAATGTGTCCTTTGCCCAGGAGACCTCCCAGTATTCCAGGATGGAGGAAGAATAGACATTTTACCTGTGGTGATCCTATGGCCATTTTTTTTCTCATTCTCGATCTCACTTAAGTTTACTATTAAAGTCAATTAGAAGGTACTAAATATATTCTAAGTAGAGAAATTAAGAGAAACTACTCAAATGTATGCCTTTGCAAAGATTCCTTCTTGTATTTGGGTAAATTGAGTTGCTTCAGTAGATCTAAAGTGTTGAAAATTCTGAAGACTTACCAAGTATTATGAAGGATATTTTTAAAATGGCATCTGTGGACTTTTTAGTTTTATGCTTTTCTTTAGTTTTGTATTTTGGAAGCCTTTTGACCTAAAATGGTGCCAAGTGTTTAACTTGAGAAATGTATATACTCCTGACAGGGAACACTTAAAAATGGAAAATTGGAAAAGAAATAGGTTGTTGGTGCATTAATCATCTCCACATAGGATTTAGTCACTTGCATGACTAAATTCTTAATAGGTCTAGGATGGCAGAGCAGAAGAACTTAATACGCTTTTGCTGAGTACTGTAAAATAAATGCTTTTTGGATTCTCAATGAAAACAATTCGCTGTGTATTTCTTAGAGCAGGAAAACAGTAGTTGAGTTTGGTAGCCTTCTCCATTATGTTCTTGACAAAATTGAGAGAAGTGAGGGACATTGTTTTTAAGCGTATGTCAGTTTATTTGGCTAGTGAGAACCTCTTAGTATTAGGGTGTGAAGAGATAAGAGCATTTGTTTCCTTGAAAAAGTTGGGCTGACTTGGGTGTTAAAAGGGAGGGAGGGAGGGAGGGAGGGTGGAGGGAGGAACAGTTTGCTATAAGGCAATCACCTGTCAAAACAGATACTGAGTGAGAAAGGAACCTTTATCTTGGGAGCAAAAGTTAACTTAAACTTGACCCCTGCTGTTTTTTTAACAGCTTTTCCTTTTGGTCCCTGGCTGTCAACCAGGCTTTATGTTATGTCAAAGGATTATTTTAGTACTCCTTTTGTAATAGCCTCAGAAAAGCTGAAGGTACCTTCCTAAGTCTTAACATTTTTATGTTTGGGAGTTACGGTTCTTAGGTAAAATAATTTCCATGTTAACTGTTGAAATAGACTTAATCACATTTCAGGAAAAGACATGTCTGGGTTAGAATTTACATGTTTGAGGCTTTATGCTCCCCGATTAGTTAACCTTTTCTGTAGGTGGGAATCCTAAAAGGCCTCATCTATTTGAACTGTCCAGGTAGTTTTGTAAATGTTTCCACTATCATCTGATTGCACCCCTTTAAAATACCCAGTATTTTTTATAGGTGGGATGGCAAAGTGAGAGAACACCATATGTAGCAGCTGGTCTTGAGAAATATATGCAAAATACCTGTACCTTAACTGTCATTAAAGAATGCATTTTTCACAACATCTGGAGTATGAAGGAAACATTTAATTTTGGAGATCACCACTCTTAGTTAAAATGACACCAAATATTTGTCACAGTGTCTACTTAATTGGGAAAAGTTTGCTACCAGGACTTTTGTCCTTGTGAAAAAATGTGTCAAATTTTTAAATGCTACTAATAGAGTGTGATATTCTTGATTATGTATTACTCAGGCTGCTAGGAGTAATTGAAAGCACTTAATTGAACATAGTGCTAGGTCTAGAAGATAGGTTTGAGCTAATAACAATAGGATTTTGGTAGTTTGAGAAGGCTTTAGGGTTCATCTCTAGTCCAGAGGTTCTCAAACTTGATCATGTATCAGAATTACCTGGAGGTGAAAACAGGTATTAGTTTCTTATTCGGTATGTCTGGATATGATCTCATGACTTTTTTTTTTTCTAATTAGTTTCCAGGTGATGGTAATGTTCCAGCACCCACATTTTGAGAACCAAGGATCTAGTCCAAACTTCAAATGAGTACTATTTGGACAGCCACCTAGTTATTTAGGGACATAGACTTAAGACTCCTGTCGTACATTTTAGAGTGCTGCCTACCACAGAAATAGACTATGTTGGTTGGAAATCTGTAGCTGAAGAGGACATAAACCTTTGACACTAAGCCTGGTAAATTGTTGCGTGTGAAATGGGATAAACACTTGGCAGGTAGAGTGACCATTTTTTGCATTTTGGAAATGGCTTTCGGTGTTAATTCAGCAGTTGACCAAAATGAGGAAAGTGATTAGAATAGGGCATGGCCTACATACTCGGAATCAACATTTCCTCCGCCTGCCCAATTTTTTAAAAAAAAGAATATCTTTGATAAAAGAGAATTCTTTTAAGTATTTATGTTTACTTCAAGATTAAAAGGGAAGAACTTAAACTCTTCCCAGTAAGGATTCTAAAAAAAAAATTATATCTAAGTATTTAAATCTTCAGCTCATGCACAGTTGTGTATCTGTATGTAAATGTGTGTGTGTGTAAATATATACACTGTTTCTTAGCCAGACTTTCCAGGAATTAGTTTAATGTCATAAAGTTCTCCATTGTGGAACAACGCATAATAGGAAACTGTGCCATACATCTTTTGGGATTGTGAGTGTTGATCTGTTTTATAAATTGGACAGCACAGCTATCTGTATTTTAACTTTGATATTAAACAGAAATCTTTGGGAAGATGTTTTTCTCAGATTAGCAGAGTAGAAAGTATGTGCTTTTTTTGTCCAGTTGACTAATCTTGCTATTTTTAAAATGAGCTATCTGGCAAAATTATGTGGGGCTAAGTTTATCAAAGGTCTGAAAATGTGTGGTTGGTTTATTTGTGGCAATTGTGCAAATGTAGCAAGAACATTTTTTTAAGTAGGAAAGAGAAAGATCACTGACATATTGAGAATACAGGTGACCCAAAAGGGCCTAAGATTATTCCTTCACTGTTAATATGGTTGCAGTGGAAACTGGTAAACAGAGCTTTAATTGAATCATTCATTATTCAACAAGCATTTATTGAGCATATACTATGGTGAAAAGACTAATGCTTAAATGGGAGGAAACCAAGCAAAAGAGAAACAACGCTAGCTTTTATCACCATAGGCTGTGAAAATAGCATATATTAACCAATAGAAGTATATGCAAAAGCAGAGCTACATATGCCATCTATACTAATAAAAGGGTAATATGCTAATTAGACCAGATAAACCAGACATCTTCCAGATGTCATTCCGGATGTCCTTCCTGACAAAGCCAGGGCCTGGGCAAAGCCACCCGGGGTCCCGGGTGCCTGCGGCCGGTCAGAGGGAGTGAAGCCCGGGTCCCGGTTGCCTGCCAGCGGCCAGAGGAGGGAAGCCTGGGTCCCAGGTGCCAGAGGAAAGCCAGTGCCAGCAGCCAGGGGAAGGAAGGCCTACTCTTACACGAATTTTCGTGCATCAGGCCTCTAGTCATTTATAATAAAGTAATCCATGAGTATGTCAAGCAAGCAATCTATTCATTGGAAATTGGAATTTTACTTTGAAAGATATGTGGATATTGCAAATAAAAATGGGTCGCATGAGGTTTAAGCAACTAATAGCTGTTTAGGTGCATGTAGAACTCTAATTTTGTGCATCATTTCCAACTTCTCTTGAGATTAGCAAAAAAATGAACATTTAAACATAGGAAATCAGGTTGCTTTCATATTTTCATGTGAAAAGGAAGAGGGTAAAATGGAGGAAAAGGCATGAAATTTATTCACTGTTTTTTGTTGTTTTATCAATGAGGAAACAAAAGGGGAAAGGACGACTAGGTTATATTCTTCAAGAAAGAAGCAGTCGCTGGCATATAGTCTTTTGGGGTTCTTAATGTAAAGAAGATTCAGGGTAGGGTATTTCTTTTGTAAAAGATAATCCTCTAAAAATGAGTGTGCCAAAGATTTAAGCTGACATTGTAAGTTTGCTAAGCTTATAGTTATTTTATACAAAAGTTTGTTTTCACGCCTTTAGTGCTTATTGAATGCAAGAAGGCAGCCAGCTCAGAGAAAGAGACATTGGGCAACTGCCGTAAGAGGTACCAGTAACAGTGATTATTATAAAACCATAGGAATTGAAGAGAGTTATAATGATAAGCCTGCAGTTTGCAGAACAATTTCTAGGGACTGTCTTGTGTAGATTCTCATGAATGTAACAACACACTTTTTAAATGTCAACAGTACAGGGTTTCAGAGATCTGAAAGCACTTCATTGTTTATTTTTTTAAAAATTTGCAGTTATGAGATGCAAATTTATTACTTATAGTTTTATAACTTCAGTAAAGGTCTTAATATCTGTGATCTGACTCATTATAAAAAGTTTTCAAAATCTGGTTTTGGTCATGAATGCAGAATATTTTAATGTTATTAAATATACATATTAACATTAATATTTTTAAATATTCTCTTTAAAGGCTAACATTGAATCATATCTCATTCAAGAAAAGAGCCTCTACAGAGATCTATTCTACCATAATTCTATAAGAATGTATATTTCAATAAAATATATTTTAAAAAATATATTTTAGATAGTTTTGAATTCAACATCATAAGTAGGTAAGAGAATTTCAGGTATATTTCTAAGTCTGATTTCAACATCATTCATCCTCTAGTAGGAAAAGGCTTGAGTTTGGAGTTCTTTACTCTGAGTTGGTTATCTTAGCTTTACATTGTCATACATACCCTGTTAACTTTTCTTTCTGTATATCATTCCATTCATCCACATTTGATTTATGCAAATATTTTTTTCTGTCACGAATGTAATCCATAGTAATTGGTAAAAATCCCCAAAAGTGTTTAATTAATGGTTATACAAATGTGTTCTCCATGTTACAGTGGAAAGAGAGAAGTATGTTTCATAGGGTTTGAGACACAGATGGGAATAGATCAAACCAGTAGGAGAAGATTGCTCACTAAGCATGTTACCTGTGGCTTTGGGCATTGCCTTTGCATTTCGTTTTTAAAACCTATAAAGGAAACTTTTACAAAACAAATTCAGTCGTATGAATATTCATTTAATATACTCAGAACTGCCTAAACATTTTTCCAGGCCATCTCTTGTGCTGAGGTCAAAATATGAGAAATCACAAATGCATTCTCTTTCTTTGAGAGAATTATACCTTGAAAGGCAGGGTCAACAACAAACAAAAACCTAGTCCAAGGAGCAAAGCCATTTTCCTGCATTTTTGTGCAAACCAGCTTTTATTTTGTCATTGGGGAAGCGTGCATAGTGGTAAGGGCAGTACATTATGTTCCTTAATCACTTTGGTAGTGCTCAACCCGTGGTCTTGGTACTGTTGTTGCTAAGGCAGGAGACTGAGGGAATCTGCTGCAGGCTGGTACACTTGTTCCTCAGCCCACACCCCACACTAGGGGATTTCCTCGTGTCCAGATTCATGATGCATGTGACTAAGTATCTACTGAGGTTGAGGACTGCTGGCCAAAGGTGAGGAAGCCTATTGGATGGGGTTCATTATGCTACTGTAGTCAGGGTTTCTCAGCCTCAGCGCTAGTCACATTTTGGGCTCAATCATTCTTTTTTGTGGAGGGTTGTCCTGTGTGTAGTAGCATCCCTGGCCTCTACCTACTCAATGCCAGTAGCACCCTCCCACACAGTGGTGATAATAAAAAATGACTGCGGATATTGATAAATAATGTCCTGGAGGACAAAATAGCCCCTGGTTGAGAACCACTGAACTTGACCTTGTAGAGATAGAGGGAGAAAGAAAACAGAGGAGAGAAGGGTTGAACCTAGAGTCAAGCAGGAGCAGTTAAGACCATCCTTACTCCAGCCCTAGCTGGTTTTCTCAGTGGATAGTGTCAGCCTGCAGACTGAGGGGTCCCAGGTTCGATTCCAGTCAAGTTCAAGGGCACATGCCCAGGTTGCGGGCTTACTCCCCAGTAGGGGGCATGCAGGAGGCAGCAGATCAATGATTCTCTCTCATCATTGATGTTTCTATCTCTCCCTCTCTCTAAAAGAAAAAGAAAAAAAAAAGATTTTCCTTACTCCAGGGCACTGCAAGGAATGCTTTTAAAAATATGTATAAGTGTTCTCTATTGTGCTTCAGACAATATCACTCTAATTAGCTCCTTAAATTCACACCTAAGAGAAAAACAATACTCCGGGATTGAGATTTATTGGGGTTTTTAGTTACCTGGAAAGAGAAGGAATGTGATTCTAGAACAGCGGTTCTTAACCTGTGGGTCGCGACCCCTTTGGGAGTCGAACAACCCTTTCACAGGGCTCGCCTAAGACGATTGGAAAACACATATATAATTACATATTGTTTTTGTGATTAATCACTATGCTTTAATTATGTTCAATTTGTAACAATGAAAATACATCCTGCATATCAGATATTTACATTACGATTCGTACCAGTAGCAAAATTACAGTTATGAAGTAGCAACGAAAATAATTTTATGGTGGGGGGGGTCAACACAACATGAGGAACTGTATTAAAGGGTCGCGGCATTAGGAAGGTTGAGAACCATTGTTCTAGAGGAAGCTGCAGTTGGTGAGTATCAGGGCTGATGACTAAGCCCAGGGACTTAGAAGTATAGGAGGAATCCGGAAAGGGAGGTTAAGGGAAGCAATGTTGCAGTTTTGTTTGGGGCCCCTTAAACCTCCACTAGGAGACATCTTGAAGGATTTCAGCTTTATTCAGTTTACCCCGCTTCACCTCACAATCTCTTTCCACTTAATCCAGGGCCCTATTCCACACATAGACTCCTCACTTAAGAGGTAGAATGTGTTTTATGTATCACATCCTTCTTCATTTTCACTTTTAAAAATCCCTTCCTCCTTCCCTCCCTTTTTTCACTTTACAATTCATCTCTCCCTCTTTCATTTTCTTGCTTCATTTTCTTAGCTGCCTTCAGGACTGAGCGTGTCCAGGGCAGACTCCTGCCACTTAACTGCACACACCTATCTGTGTCCAAACCCCTTGGACTGTCAAGAAGCGGGCAGCAAAGGGGTGGTGACTGCCGTGTAATAAAGAGCTTCTGGAATCTGGCCGTCTCTAGCCAGCACATGCACTGTGGCTGCCAACCCTTGAAATACAGCATTAAGTATCCTGTCAGCAAGTTCATTAATGTGGAATTAACTTAATGACCATGGCTGTTTAATTTACTCTGAACCAGACATGGTTGTTTTGGTTCTGAAGTTTTAAATGAAATAGATATTTTAATATTTGTGCAATATACCCCTAAAGACTTTAAGCAACCAGACACCCTACCTGGTGGGACAAATATAATTCTACATTAACAGGGTACACATTTGGAGTTCTAACATTCCTAGGAAGTAAGAGATATAACAGTTTTGTAATGAGCAGGAACAATCTCCAAGCCCATTCAAAGGTTCTACCCAGCTAGAAAAGCATAAGAAAGGTAGGCAATGAATGAAATAATTCTCTACAATAAAAAGTACTGTTTGGCCTGGCCGATGTGGCGCAGTGGTTGAGCCTTGACTTATGACCCAGGAGGTCACAGTTTGATTCTCAGTCACATGCCTGGTTGCAAGCTCAATCCCCAGTAGGGGGCCTGCAGAAGGCAGTCAATCAATGATTCCCATCATTGATGTTTCTATCACTCTCTCCCTCTCCCTTCCTTTCTGAAATCAAATATATATATATATATATATAATTTTAAAGTACTGTTTGGTGAAAGTGGATGAGTGATTGGGTACCTGAAACTTGCTTCTCAAATTTAATACCTGTCTTGTATTAGAATGGATGGTGTTGATAGAAATATGATGTAGCATCTTTGTATTAAATTAAAAATGGAAAAATCAGATTCAGTTAGTAATGTAGTCACAAGATAGAGAAACAGATTTGGTATATCTGAATTTCCTGTTTTCCTCTTTATAATCATCTGCACCAGTAACAACATTTTTTTTCTTATCTCTAGATTTTATTGGCTTTGGGGAATATTTCGTTTTCTTTCTAATTAAAAAGTTTTTAACAAGAAAAATATTCAGTTATGAATCTCTGTAGCTAGTAGCCAAGAAAATATATGTGTTCATTAATACAAACAAATAAATTGTGTAGGATGTTTTGCAATGTCATTATTTATTTGCATTTACCTTTTATAGCTTAGAAATGATTCTCAATGTAGCATTTTTCAGTGGAAATGAAATTCACCCTTTTCTTTGATTAATTACCATTTGACTAGTATTCAGGGAAAAAGTAGTAACTATTTTTAAAAGGAGCATCATGAACTCTCTCCACTTTACTTTTAGTAGCAAAATTACTAACAATTTTCCTTTTTAACATTTTCCCCTGAAGAGTAGCACTTTATGAATAATAAAAAATTACATATTGAATTTTCCAAAGGTTGTACAGTAGTTCATTGGGTTTATCATGGTAGTGGTGATTTTGCCAAAATATTTACCCCCCTAATTACAAGCAACATAATTGATGTGTGCTATCCTATAGGGAGCACCACAAATACATTTGCAGTGGGACTATCTATAGTGCTGTTTTGGTCTTAGCAATTTTGGATAATGTAGAATGGATAACACACCATAAAAAAATAAACTCTAAGTTGGCCTCCTAGAAAGTATTTTTGTCCAGTCATTTGAACACACAGTTTTTAAAAAATATATGTGATAAAAATTGTCAGTATGATAACATATGCCATACAGTGAGAATTGCCAATTTTCCATGTTAAAAATTTTTCTGACATCCTAAATTATCTTCTTTTTCTTTAAAGTTATCTTCAAAATTATCTTCAAAATGGCTGGCCCAATTTGACTATTGAAAACACAATCTTCCACTTGCCAGAGACTATGAAAAGATTTTGCTTCCTGCAATGAATTCAAATGGAGTTTAAAGTATTACATATCAGAACTTAATGGATTACAAGAATCTGGTGTTGCCTGGCCAGAGTAGTTCAGTGGTTGAGCATTGACCTATGAACCAGGAAGTCACAGTTGGATTCCCAGTCAGGGCACATGCCTGGGTTGCAGGCCTGATCCCCAGTGGGGGGCATACAGGAGGCAGCTGATCAATGATTCTCTGTCATCATTGAGGTTTCTACCTCTCTCTTCCTTTCCCTTCCTCTCTGAAATCAGTATATCCTATATAATAAAGAGATAATATGCAAATTGACCATCATTCCAACACACAAAAAGGTTGCTCCCATGTGGTCAAAGATGGCCACCCACATGTGGACACAAGATGACCAGCATGGGAGGGCAGTTAGGGGTGACTGGAACAGCAGATGAGGGAATTTGGGGGTGACCAGGCCTGCAGGGGAGGGCAGTGGGGGAGATCAGGCCTGCTTGGAGGGCAGTGGGGGAGACCAGGCCTGCTGGGAGGCAGTTGGA